CATGGATTATGACCTCTGATTGCACGAAAAATCACGTTTTTAATTTGCGAACACTGTAGCGGTCACAATTTTTATCCGATTTGGTTTAAACTTGAAATGTATGCTTATAACCCAAAGATCTCGGTTCCTTTCGATATTCGTGCATATTGGAACGTAACTTCCTGAATTATGGCCCCTGATTATACGGAAAATCGCGTTTTTAGCTTGTGGACCCTATAGAGGTCATAATTTTTATCCGATTTAAAAAACCGTATTATTATATCAGTGTTAAACCATAAGGACGATTGAGTTCGAATTTCGTGAAAATCGGCCGAAAACTGACAGACAAAATGGCCGCCGTTCGGTCTCAAATAGCGTAAAAATATGGTATATCAAGGTTGTGGACCCTATAGAGGTCACCAATTTTAATCCTATTTTGATGAAACTTGAAATGTAAGTTTATAACCCAAAGATCTCGGTTCTTTTCGGTATTCGCTCATATCGGACCGTAACTTCCTGAATTATGGCCCCTGATTGTTCGAAAAATCGCGTTTTTAGCTTGTGAACCCTATAGAGGTCATAATTTTTATCCGATTTAAAAAAAACGTATTATTATATCACCGTTAGACCCTAAGGACGGCTGAGTTTGAATTTCGTGAAAATCAGCCCAAAACTGACAGACAAAATGGCCGCCCCTCGTTCTCAAATTGCGTAAAAATATGGTATATCAAGGTTGTGGACTCTATAGAGATCACAATTTTTATCGTATTTTGTTGAAACTTGAAATTTAAGTGTATAACCCAAAGATCTTGGTTCCTTTCGATATTTGCGCATATCGAATTGTAATTTCCGGAATTATGGCCCTTGATTGTAGGAAAAATTACTTTCGTTGCTTGTTTTCTCTCCATCTCTCGAAAATGTGGGCGTATCCTGCCTGGCAGCCGCTGGTTGTCTACGATATCACCCATGGTGAAATTTGACGTAAAACTCTAGGAAAGAAGAAGGGAAGATATGTAAAACGTGTTACAATGTATAATTTAATATACGGCTACTTTTAAAATACAACGGAAGTAGGTAAAACGTGGTATAATAGAACATATTACATAACTGATATTACAGTACTGTGTAAAGGCGTGGTACAAGAGAATAATAGGCTGATATTAGGCCTACAGTACATGTTGTGAGGGAGAAATCGGGGTAGAATAGCATATAATATGACTGAGATATCAGCTTCATATTTCAAAGGATTACAACAAACTCACGGGTTGAAATGGCTAAACTACTTCGGTAGTGTGTCATTGGGAAAAGGCCGCATTCAATATCCAGTTTCGTACCGAATTTTTAGCCCCTTTTCAGTCGAAAATCATGTCAAAGTTTCATGGCCATAATTGGATCAAATGATTTTACAGATCCCACACCATAAGCTACTGTTATCTCAGCCTCGAATTAAAAAGCACGTGGTACCAAAGTCGCGTACCACGTTTCAGTTGTATAGGTGAAGTAAGGCGAGCGTACCACCTTTCAGCTGTATAGAAGCCGCGCAAGGCGAGCTTGGTGCGTTATCTCAGTCTCGGATTCTATTATACCACGTTTTTTGTATATATCAACTCATAATTTTCGTATCATCCATATTCCCCGTTTTTACCTGACACGGTTTGTTTCATATCTACCCAATATTCCACGGAGGTTCTTTTTCACACTGATCAGCAGTGAATTTTCGCTAGGCCTCTACAATCACTGATGAGGATGACATCGATGCGACTTAATGAGTCCCAAATTAACTTTTTTCTTCCGTCAAATTAAATTCCAAAACAATTTTTTTTCATTTATTAGAAAAATAAATAAAGACGTTTGAATTATTTTTAGATAAAAATCATTTAGGGTAAATGGGTATTAAAATAAGCAAAATTCACCATTTAGCCCGAATCAGTATAACGTCTTATGTAGACAATGCACGCGCTATTGAGCCAATGATTGACGCCGCATGATGTGACGTCACGTGTCGAAACAGTCATCTGTTACAGAGATATTAGAAGATCTCTGTGAAACAGATTGGGTCTTTTTAAATAGCGTATAATATAATAACTTTTACATAGTATTATTAACCGTATGATAATCAACCGACCGATCGGCTATCTACATTGTACATATTTTAACATAAAGTGTAAATATGACCAATAAAAACATTAAAATGGATTAAATAAACAACATAGTTTGCAAAATAAACCAAAGTCGCGTACCACGTTTCTTTTGTATAGAAGCAGTAAGGTACGGTGGCCCATATACGACTTTTAATTTTTTTTAGTTTTGTTTTTTAGTTTTAGGTTTGATTTTTTAATTCTCACCTAGGTGAAAAGGTTTTCACCTAGGTGATAACTTATCACCTCGGTGGAAACGTTTTCACCTAGGTGGGAACTCACGTGTTACTAATAGGTCTCGTTTTCACGTGTACAAACAGGGCGGTTCCAAAGAAGACCGCAAATTAACTACACAAAAGTGACCACGGGTATGACTACATTCGGAAAAACAAGAAAAGTATGTCATTCAGCAAAAGTGACGGATTCTGCCTGAAAACAAAAGATATTTGGAATTAAAAAATACATAAAACAATTTGATTGATTAATGTTTTATGCGCTCAATATTATTTCGCTTATATGGCGATGTTGCCAGGATTATTGGGGGTGGGAGGGGGAAACCGGGATCGATGCCCGAAGGAAGCCCCCGACCTCACCTCAAGTTGGTTCCTGGCGACCATCCCACCTAAGGCCGGTCGAGAATATTCCGGTCGACAACTTTTAGTACTTTCCCTACTGTTGGATCTTGCGCCCTCCTAAATTAAAGGAAGGATATATCTTGGGTTGTAGCGGGGGCCCCAACTGAAGCATACTTTATTTTAGCTTATATGTTCACTTTAAATATAAAGTATGCTTCATACGAAAGACGATAATATCTACTTCAAATTGTTTTTGTTCCGTGGTTCCCCTTGTCAGTGATGCAGGACGGAGGGCTTGACAAGGACAGCTGTCTAGTCGTTCGGATGGGTCGAAAAACCGAGGTCCCGTGTACACATTGGCGTGCACGTAAAAGATCCCTTGGCAGTTTGAATTCGATATAAGAGTAGGCCGTAGCGCCGCTGCCCGGGCAAAATTTCCCTCATAGCACACTGTATGGCGTATGCCCGTCTTCATTGGCCCAGATTAGGAGCAGAACAGTAGGACGTTAAACCCCATTTCATTTCATTTCATTTCGTTTTTGTTCCGATATATAAGCCTACCCTTACATGTTCTGTTGCGACGTCACCCTTTTGACGATCATGACCCCATGTGGAAATGTCAGAACAAATACAATTTTAGGTAGATATCGTCTTTCGTATGAAGCATACTTTATATTTAAAGTGAACATATAAGCTAAAATAAAGTATGCTTCAGTTGAAAGACGCCACATAAGCTTCAGTCAATCAATCGATTAACATGACTTTATATTTAAATATATTTATCCTGATGGTACTTAACGTAACTGTATAGCGAACAAATAATGTTTGGTGGTTTTATTGGTCGCTAGGATCCAACGTGATGTAGGGGGCTTCTTCCGGGCATCGATCCCGGTTACCCCCCTCCCACCCCAATAATCCGCAACATCGCCATAATGTAGGGTGACCCACCATAAATAAATATCTCCAAATATCTCGACAATTACGCCACAATATTTATATATATGCCAAGCCTCAAATCAGTTTCACACAATTATAGTCACTAAATAAACGATCATGTTGTACTTAATAAGCTATGACCATTAATCATCTATAAATAATAGACTGAAAACTGGTTCCAAGTTGCGTCCATAACATCCAGACACTTTTGAGTAAAAGATAGGTTACGTGCCCTTGTTTTGAAATTAGTCTCGCTTAACCAGTCTATCGACCATTCTACGTCTGATTGACAGGTCGGGATAATCAAGACTACTTTTTTACGAAACATAACAGAAAGCTAGAACAAGAAATTGAATTTAGAAATAAGCACTTTAGACAACTCAACAATTGTTTTAAGAAACTTGTAAAAGTAAAATGAAACTACTGCTAGTATCATGTTCCTGCTAAAGAAAGTGATTCAGAGATAGTATTTGTACTAAACCAAAAGATGCCGCTCTTAACGGTACAGTTAATGATAAAGCAATTTAAAAAATAACACAAACGTAATTACTAAAGCTGCTGTAATAACCAAGAAGCTAAATTTTACTGCTATTCAAAATCGTCAACAATAGATTTTTTACGGCTGTAATAGTTGATATATTTGTAGAGAATTGCACGTGCCATGGCTATTTATCGACTCAAAGCGAGTGCGGGGTAGTCAGAAATCAGTTCGAGACACGCAACTGAAGCGTGCACATTTAGCCGTGTCGAGACCAACTTTCTGTAAAGTGCACGGGTCATCCTATATGATAACGAAATAATATTGAGCGTATAAAACGTTTCCACCGAGGTGATAAGTTATCACCGAGGTGAAAACGTTTCCACCGAGGTGAAAAGGTTATCACCGAGGTGATAAGTTATCACCTAGGTGAAAACTAAAAAAACAAACCTAAAACTAAAAAACAAAACCCAAAACTAAAAAATATTTAAAAGTCGTATATGGGCCACCGTAGTTAAGGCCCTCGGATTTTATTATATTACGTTTTTTTTTAAACTTTTCAACTCATCGTACGTTTATATCATCCCCATATTTTATTATACCCCGTTTTTACCTGCCACGGTTTTGTTTCATATCTACCCATTATTCCAATATACAACATATATAGGGTCTTTTTAAATGGGATAAAATAACTTTTACACAGTAACTAAATGGCGATTATTACCATGGAGGTGCATATATTGATATACACCTCTGTGATTATAACCGACCGATGGACTGTCTGAATTGGATTATATTCAACATTTTAAGTGAAAATATGGTCTATAAATGTTAAAATATATATATATGGGATACTGAGGTATAGCCGGGTAGGAATACCGTACGTATCGCTATTTACCCATTTGTATAATTGATGTCGTTTTGTTGATAATTTCATTTGGGAAATTGTAGTAGGTCGATAAAATATAGTGTCCATGTTCTAAATAAACCCCTAGGAAAATGGTGCATGGGAATGAAGGCGCAATATCATTGCAGCAGCCTCCACAGTGTTACACTAGTTGGTTGTGTTGTCGTTGTGTTACCGGTGGCAGTTCCCTCACTGAGTCTATTGTCTATTCCCTGGATGCGCACGCATATTACTTGTATTTAATATGTAATTAATAATTCATTTACGTATTTTTTACGACCCCGATATAAGACATGTGTTTACTGACTGTGATATATAATAACACTGATATGTAAATAATAGTGTCGAATGTCTAGGTACATTTTCTTGTGAGTAAAAATAAGATCAAGAAGTTTATAATATACGGTATATTGTCATAAACGAAGATGGAAGAAAATTTAGAAATAGTACGTCTAAAAAAGCAGATATCGTTGTTTGATTGCGTAACTATATTAGTTGGGACTATGATAGGATCGGGTATTTTCGTTTCACCAGTTGGTATCCTCTTCTACGTTCGATCACTGGGAATGTCCTATGTGTTATGGGCTTTGTGTGGAGTCTATTCGGCACTTTGTGCAGCTTGTTTCGCCGAACTCGGAGCAGCTCTTCCGACATCGGGTGGTGAATATATGTACATTTACCGCGCTTTTGGTGATTTTGCGGCATTTCTTTGTTTATGGACGCACATTTTTAATTATTGCTCGGGTTATGCAGCATTATGTTTAATATTTTCAACATATATATTACAACCAGTGTATAACAATTGTGAAGAAATTCCCCAAGTTTTATTGAGGCTTATCAGTGCACTGGTTTATAGTAAGTAATGTCATGGACCTTATAAGTTCCATGGTAATGTTTAATTATTTCATTAACAGGTACCGGCATGTTTAAACTTCTATCACGTACCAAACAAAAATATACTTTTAAAATAGATAGACCTTTTTGATTTGGGTAAAAAATTAAATTGTTTATTTGGTTTGTGATGGTAAGATGTTGCAGTGGTAATTACATGGTGTAAAATGTTGCAATGGGTTAAAATGTTGCAGTGATTTAATATGTTGTGGGGGTTTAAGAAGTTATGTACATGACTACAGGGGTTTAAGAACTTAAAAATTAATTTTTGATATGTGTTATTAAAGAAGAATTCTGAATTGATATCCACTTTACACAAACCAGGTCATTTTGGGACTAAAATATGGTGTATTGGCATGTATCGGACTATAACTTCATGGATTATGGCCTTTGATTGTACGAAAAATCACGTTTTTAGCTTGTGAACACTGTAGAGGTCACAATTTTCATCCGATTTGGTTTAAACTTGAAATGTATGTTTATAACCCACAGATCTCGGTTCCTTCAATATTCGCGTGTATCGGACCATAACTTCCTGAATTATGGCCCTTGATTGTACGATAAATCAGGTTTTTAGCTTGTGGAAATGGGTGACCATAACTTCCTGGATTATGGCCCCTGATTGTTCAAAAAATCACATTTTTAGCTTGCGGATTCTCTAGAGGTCACAATTTTTTTCCAATTTTAAAAACCGTTTAAATACATCACCATTCCACCATATTGAAGGTTGGATTTCGTATTTCGGGAAAATCGAAATGAAACTGCCCGACAAAATGGCCGCTCTTTGTATGCAAATTGTTTAGAAGTGTGTAATACGAAGGTTGTGGACCCTCTTGAGGTCACAATTTTAATCCGATTTTGATTAAACTTAAAACACACCTTTATATCCCAAAGATCTCTGTCCCTTTTGATATTTGCACATTTCAGGCCATAACTTTCTGGATTATTGCCCCTGATTGTATAAAATATCATGTTTGTTTTTAGCTTGTTCTCTATCCATCTCTTGCAAAATGTGGGCATATCCTGCCTGGCAGCTGCTGTTTTTTTTTGTTTTATGTGAGGTTGATACATGTTTACATCAAGTCAAATACTTAAATCTTATTTTCAGCTTTCATAGTGGCAATAAACTGCATAAATGTGAAATGGGTGACCAAACTGCAAGCCATAATAACAGGTAGTAAACTAATGGCGTTGTTTGCAGTCATTGTTATAGGATGTGTGTGGCTTTATAAAGGTAAGTAGAACAATATTAATCTGATACAGTCTGTAATCTCAAGTAGATATAATCTCAGTCATAGTTAAAGAGGTATCATTAGGAGGATACAATGTGCGGATGCGGAAATATCTTGATGTTGGGGAAAGAGTTGAAAAGCGCACATTTACTGTTTGACAAGATTCACAAACAATTAAACTATCAAAAGCATACTAAAAAGTGTGGTTTTGGCTTCTACAGTGCCCTGGCCCCACTACACAAGAGGGTTTGGATGGCTGTATGGTTAGCGCAAGCATGTTGTATCATAAGGTCCGTTTCATTGAGTCAACTGACATGGTTACGATTCCCTGGTTGTATGTGACAAGGAGTAGAGTCGCCGGTCCAACCTCGTGGGTCTTCTCCGGTTTCCTTCCACTGCCAAAGATCCCTGCATGCAAGTGAATTATTGAAATAAAATTGAACCATATGTCGGTCCCAAAATGGCCTGGTTTGTGTAGAGTGGATGTTAAACTCCATTTCCCTCCCTTCCCTCCCAACTACACCAGGCACATTGCACACTTGAACTCTTAAATTTGACAGAGCTTTTGATTTAATTGGAACCACAGTGACCTAGTGAGTATGACCCTGAATCACTAACCAGGAGGTCACGAGTTTGATCCCCTTGTTAGTGGTGTAGGATGGATGGCTTGACAAGGAAACTCTTTATTTGTTTGGATGGCTGGAATAGAGAACTGAGGTACCTGTTAGCCTGCAGACTAACAAATCTTTGACTGGTTGTGGTGGGTCCAAATGGTTTAACATGTGCATGTTAAATCATAAAGTCTGTCATTGAGTCAAGTACTGTGGTTTCGATTCCTTGCTTGTACGTGACAAGGTTGCCTGTCCATCCTTGTGGGATTTCTCTAGGTGCTCCGGTCTCCCTCCACAGCTAAAGACCTTGATACATGTATGCTAGTGAGTTATTGAAATAAAATTGAACCATTTGTTAATCCCGAAATGACCTAGTTTGTGTTGAGTGGATGTTAAACCCCATCTCTCTCTCTCTCTCTCTCTCTTTGACTGTTGGAATTTGATGAGTAGATGGAAACGCCACTGCCTTGGCAACATTTTCAATAAATGGTCCATTCAGCTTAGTCTGGTTGGTGCTGAAAAAGTAGGATGCTTAAAGCCCATTTCAGTTCATTTTATGATTTATTTAAAATGTGTCCAATAGAACCGGGATTGTTTGTCTTATGTGATCTTTATTTAATTTGTTGGGTAGATATTCTGCATTGTGAGACTGGATACTAGGGCGGACTAGATAATTTATGTTATCTGATCCAAAGTATTTTTTTCCTTTTTAAAAAAAATGAATGTGATGTTTTTGTTATACAGGTGAAATGGGAGCTTTTGATAATGCTTTTGAAGGAAGTGATTTTAATGTGGGTTCTATAGTCTTTGCATTTTATTCTGGCAATTGGGCATATTCCGGATGGTAAGTGAACGTCAATAATTAGGTTGAATCATTTTGAGATAAATTTTCAGTCCACAATATACAGTGAACGATCTGCAGGTCAATGTTCTTGATCGATTTTTTCGAATTTGCATGGATTGTGAAGAACTTTATTGCAATTCAGAATTTTTCAATAGCGAAACATGAAGTTATGAATTCTGGAGAATGCAATACGCAGTTTAAAAGCATATTTTAAAAACTCCACAAGATTGTTAATTAGACTAACGTATATATGGAAGAACCTATACAATTCAATTTTGTTTGCATCACAGATTTAAAAAGTTTTGCAGAGTTCTATGTCACAATACAGGACATACTTTTTGTTAGAATCTTCCAAAACTTGGACTTTACCTGTAAATATAATTGATATATATTTAGCTACATATTTGATTGATATATGTATTTAGCAATATATTTACCTATATATTTCATTGATTGATATATATTTACCTGAATATTTGTAGGAGTAATATATGCATGTTTGCAGGTGAAGTGATAAAACCACAAAGGTAACGTTAAATTGATATTGATACCCTCCCTTTCATTCTTTGTTAGAACAAGGGCTTTCTTTTCAACATTTTGCCAGTCAATTTTTGATTTATTTTTGTTCAAAGAATATGACAGTTTTAAGCATTATCTCAATTTTAATATTTTCCCACAAGAAAACAATTAAATTTAACTGCATTTATTGTTTTTTAAGGTTAAAATTTTGATTTTATGATATGTAAATTCTTCAGCTAATCAATTTCATGAAGTCATTCAAGACTGTTAAATATGACCGAAACGATAACCCTGGTAGAACATTCAGAAACTGGATTCGTTTTGAAATTAGTCCATTCAAATATGATATTGCATCCCCAAATTCTTTGCTAGATTGTTGACCAAGAGAAAAAATACAAGGACATTAAAGCTATGTTCCCATACTGAATATTAAATATCCAATAAGTTTCTGTACCTTGTCTCAGTCTGATAAAACCATTTTAATATGTTTGCATTTAATTTGAACACTTCAGATTATTTGAGGAGTGATTGCCATTGACGTGAAAAACACTTGATATACATGTAATCTAGGTTCAGAGTTCAATCTCGAGATTTCACAGCATGGTTTAGCGTTGCGAGTGGTACAGACGTAGAACCTGGCAAGAAACAATGTCTAGTCGTTTGGTTGGGTTGAAAAACCAAGGTCCTTGTACAGGTTGGTGTGCACATTAAAGAACCCTTGATACCTGGAATTTGAAATAAGAGTAGAGCCGTTGTCCTTGCAAAATGTCCTTCATAGCACACTGCGTGGCATACGGCCATCTTCATTAGCCCAGTTGGTGCAGAACAGTAGGAAAATAAACCCCATTTTATTTTGGTTGATATGTGGTTGCATCACTGTTGTTAGTTTTTCTTTCTTGTTTTTTTTTTCAGGAATATACCTCTAGGTATAATTATATCACTATGTATAGTGACAGTTGTATATATAGTAGCTAATATAGCTTATTTTACTGTACTCACACCTTCTGAGATGTTAAAATCAACAGCAGTCGCTGTGGTACGTAACCCTTGTCATTCAGATATTTCCCATTTCAAGGAACGACAGGCTGATGTACCGTAAAATACATATATCAATATTTCTGTTTAGAATTACAATGGACATGGTGGTTGAGCGACAAGGCACTAGAATATCCAGGGTTTGAATCTTCACATTGACCAAAAAGAGCCTTCAGAATTTTTTTTTAACCCGATTCTCAGTTGTCTGCAAGGCTAACAATGAAAAGTATGCCTAGTCGTTTGAATGGTGTGGAAAATAAAGGTCCACCCATGTACACATTGGCATTCATATTTATTACAGGCAGAGCAAAATGTTTACTGTAGTCAAGAACAATGTATAAACAAATATAAAGAAATAGACCACAATGGCAATGCTATTTTGATACCCCCCCCGCCCCCTCCCACAAAAAAACAAACAAACCCTTATTATAACTTCATTCTGTGGAATCGCCATCAAGTAAAAACAAACAAACTGATCCCCCAATCCATATTTATACGCCCACATTTTCGAATATTGTCATCGTCTCTGTCCGTCTGTCCGTCCACAATTTGTTTGTGGACACTCTACAGGTCACAACTTTTATTTGATTTTGACAAAACTTAAAATATAGCTCTATCTCCCAAAGATCTCGGTTCCTTTCGATATTGGCATATATCGGACCATAACTTCATGGATTATGGCCCCTGATTGTACGAAAAAATCATGTTCTTAGCTTATGGACACTCTAGAGCTCATAATTTTCATCTGAATTTGATGAAACCTGAAATGCATGTTTATAACCCAAAAGTCTTGGTTCCTCTCGATATTTGTGATATCGGATCGTAACTTCCTGAATTATGGCCCCTGATTGTACGAAAAATCACGTTTTTAGCTTGTGGTCCCTCTAGAGGTCACAATTATTATCCAATTTAAAAAAAACATTCGAATATATCACCATTACACCATAATGTTTGTTGACGTCGAATTTCGTGAAAATCAGGCCAAAACTGCTGGACAAAATGGCCACCCCTCATACGCAAATAGTGTAAACATCTGGTAAATCAAGGTTGTGGACCCTCTAGAGGTCACAATTTTGATCCGATTTTGATGAAAGTTGAAAGATATGTTTATAACACAAAGATCTTGGTTCCTTTCGAATTGTATCTTCCTGAATTATGGCCCTTGAATGTACAAAAAATCGTGTTTTTAGCATGTGGTCGCTCTAGAGGTCACAATTATTATTAGATTTAAAAAAACGTTCGAATATATCACCGTTACACTGTAACTGCCTGGATTATGGCTCCTGATTGTTCGAAAAACGCATTTTTAGCATGCAGATTCTCTAGAGGTTACAATTTTTTTTTTACGATTTTAAAAACCGTTTAAATATATCACCATTCCACCATAATGAAGGTTGAATTCAAATTTCGGGAAAATCGAAAAGAAACTGCCGGACAAAATGGCAGCACTTTGTATGCAAATTGTGTAAAAGTATGCTACAAAAGTTGTGGACCCTCTAGAGGTCAAATTTTTTTTCCGATTTTGATGAAACTTAAAACATATCTTTATATCCCAAAGATCTCAGTCCCTTTTGATATTTGGGCATTTCAGACCATAACTTTCTGGATTATTGCCCCTGATTGTACAAAAAGTCATGTTTGTTTTTAGCTTGTTCTCTATCCATCTCTTGCAAAATGTGGGTGTATCCTGCCTGGCAGCCGCTAGTAGTGGTATTACATTCAGTTTATTAGTATTCACAATTTTTTCAAATTCTGTTTTAAATTTAGAGTGAAGTACTCAGTAGGACACATGTATCTGCATCAATTCATTGATAATATTTGTGTTTTGCTTCAATAATTCCAGTACAATAAATGCGTAATTAAGTTGATTTATAAACCAAATTAAAACTATCGTGCAATGGATTGGATAATTCCATATAGAAAACGCGATGAACAGCTTGTTATCTGTTCTATATGTAGAATAAATAATTACATTTAAAAATAAATGTTTACAGTTCAGCAAATTTTGGTATATGTATCTATAATTATATTTGTGTTCATCTATACAAAATGATATGCTACATGTATATGGATCTTATTTAAGCTAAGAAATAATCAATTATATTTGTGTAATATTTTCAAAATAAACAGAAACACCACCACAGTATCAGAAATCAAGGCTGAATGAATTTCAAGTATATACATATTTTGTGTCATTAGAAGGGGCATTCATCTATATAAATAAGATTTATATCAATTAAAATTTGCTTTCAAAAAACGCGTTCAAATGTGTATATTTTTGTCAAAATAACCTCAATTTCAGTGCTGAAGAAACTCTTTCACTTTAACTATGAATTATACTATTTTTATATGCCCACATTTTCATGTAGATGTATATTGTCGTCACCCCTGTCTGTCCACAATTGTTTGTGGACACTCTACAGGTCACAATTCTTATCCGATTTTGACGAAACTTGAAATATAGCTTTATCTCCAAAAGATCTTGGTTATTTTCGATATTGGCATGTATCGGAGCGAAACTTCATGGATTATGGCCCCTTGATTGTACGAAAAATCATGTTTTTAGCTTGTTGACCCTATAGAAGTCACAATTTTATCTGATTTTCGCGCATATCGGATTGTAACTTCCTGAATTATGGCCCCCGATTGTATGAAAAATTGCGTTTTTAGCTTGTGGACCCTATAGAGGTCATAATTTTTATCCGATTTCGTGAAAACCGGCCCAAAACTGACAGACAAAATGGCCGTTCCTCGTTCTCAAATAGAGTAAAAATATGGTATATCAAGGTTGTGAATCCTCTAGAGGTCACAATTTTCTTCTGATTTTGATGAAACTTGAAATGTAAGTTTATAACCCAAAGATCCTTTCAATATTTGTGCATATCGGACCGTAACTTCCTGAATTATGGCCCTTGAATGTAAAAAAAAATCACCTTTTTAGCTTGCCGTCCATGTAGAAGTCACAATTTTTATTCGATTTTAAAAAAACATGTGAATATATCATCATTACACACTAAAATCTTGGTTCCTTTCGATAATCGTGTATATCTGAAAATAACTTCCTGGATTATGGCTCCTGATTGTTCGAAAAATCGCATTTTTAGCTTGTGGATTCTCTAGAGGTCACAATTTTTTTTTCCGATTTTAAAAAACATTTAAATATTTCACCATTCCACCATAATGGAGGTTGAATTCGAATTTCGGGAAAATCGTAATGAAACTGCCCGACAAAATGGCCGCTCTTTGTACGCAAATTGTGTAAAAGTCTCAGTCCCTTTTGATATTTGCGCATTTCAGACATAACTTTCTGGATTATTGCCCCTGATTGTACAAAAAATTGTTTGTTTTTAGCATGTTCTCTATCCATCTCTTGCAAAATGTGGGCGTATCCTGCCTGGCAGCCACTGGTTTTTCAATTTTATCTATTTGTCCACCCTTGTCTACTTTTCAACCTCGTGGGTTTTCTCCAGGTCCTCCGGTTTCCTCCCACTGCTAAAGACCCCTACGCGCAAGCGAATTATTGAAATAAAATTAAACCATATGTTAGTCCCGAAATGACCTAGTTTGTGTCGAGTGGACGTTAAACCCCTTTTCTCTCTCTCTGTTTGTCTACGGTTTCCTCCCATATGTAAAGACCAGAACTAGCAAGCAAATTATTGATATAAAAATTGAACCATGTTAGTCCCAAAATGACCTAGTTTGCATCGAGTGGAGGTTACACTCTTTCACTATCAATAGCACACTTTCTCACTTCCAACTATAATTTACTCTCGTCACTTTTAACTATAAGTTATATACTTTCGCTGTAAAGGAAAGTCACTGTGTGCACAGTTAAACTATTTTTGCTCCAGTAATACATCGCTATGCAAGATACACTTCTAGGCGACACAGATAAACTTGACACAATATTGTAGAAAAGATAAATAGTTTTACATGGACAAGAAAAAAAAGGTAGGACAATGATCTACAAAAACACTGATTTCTTTCTGATGATCATATTTCATCTTCTTATTTTGATTGCAACCTGCAATCTGAATCAAATCAACCTAAATAAAATTCAACATCTGACCATATTGCACTAATTAACAGGGATAATACAGACGTGCATACACCATATGCCTCGGTACACAAACTCAAATATATCTTGTTGAATATTTAAAATAAAAAAAAATAAAATAATCTCTGTACTATTTTGATATAAAGGCTTTTGTTATTTTGTAACTAAGCATGTATATTCCATATTTAAAAAGAAACCTGCATGGAGAAAATCTGCCGAGTTGTATGAAAAGTATATTTATTAAATAAATAACGATGGTGACATAAAATCTATAGAAATCAATGAAGATGCTATATGTCCATAGATAAATTAAACTGCTTTTCTGGCCTTTTGAGGCTTTATGTCAAATGTCAATTTCACATTTTCGTGTACTACAATCAGATTTTTCAATTCTATTTTCAGACTTTTGCAGAACAAACGATCAAACCTGCGGCTTTTGTAATGCCTCTGTTAATAAGTGTATCTGTTCTGGGAACTTTAAATGGTTCATCGTTAGCATTTTCAAGGTAGAATTAATAATTTGATTGTGTATTGAAACATGACTGATTATTTACATTTATCAGTGCTAAAATGGAGTTAGGATTTTAATTAAGGAATAAATTGATTCCTGTAACCACAAAACCTAAGGCTCCATCAAGTCATATTTTGATATGACATCCCAATTCCAAGATGGCTGTGATAACGTCATTCGTAGTTTATGACAGAATAACTTAGAAAGTTAGAATACAGTTTTTATTTAAACATGTACATACATTATATAAACGTCTGAGTAAAAAACAAGTTTATTTATATGATGCTTTAATTTGAATATTTTGTTTGCTTTTGTATGCTTTTATATCGCTTGAAATGAATTGAATCTACCCTGCGTTTCTCTATGACGAAGATATGACTGCACAAATTTGCATGGTTGAAGACTTTAAAGTAAACACAAGTTGACAACTAAATTTACCGTACAATAGTTTGTTATTTGACATACATTGCTAACCACTGGGGAACATTAATTCAGTGATTTGAGATAGTACTTCTATATTTGACCTACATTGGGTAGGCTATTTAAATCAAAAGTTAATCATAAATGTGTTTTATATAATTCAATTCTTACATAAACCTATCCTATTTTTGGGAGGAAGGCATGGGTCCTCATGTGACAGTTCTCGATTCTTGGTTCATATAGTACTCTCTTATTTTTATTCTGGTATGTTGGGTCTTGAATATTTTAGTACCTAACATGGGATACAGCTTATTAAAGATGCATTATGTAAGAGCTAAACCTGCCTATTGCGAGTCTTAGGATGGCTCAGATTCAAATGGATTAGAACACATGCTAAAATGGATACTCAAGGTTAAGTCCAGAATTCCATGTACAGGTTGCTATGATAATATAATAATCAGTACGCTACATCTTTTCAAAACTTTAAACACTCATAACTTTGCTCGGAATAAGTGATTTGAAAGAAATTGTCACTATATTCATCTTTCATTATGTATTTTTAAACTATTATATTAACATACATTTTTATTGTTTAGGTTATTGTATGTAGGATCTAAAATGAACCACACACCACGATTTCTGTCCATGTTACATGTAAAAAGAAATACACCCACGCCTTCACTAGTCGTCATTGTAAGTTTGCCTATATTTTCGGTCTATATTTAACGATAAATCAAGGAAAATATTGTAAGCCATATAGTCTCATACATTGAATGATAAGCTAGGGTCTATTGTTCAGAGTAGCTTTTGTTATATTATTATAGTAGTTTAGATGTTCAGTGCAATCAATGCATTTTGTCAGACATTTTTTTCTCTCTCCAATGCTTGGTCTTATGGCGTAATAGGCTTACTCTGACAGACAGCCGGGCCTTTATGAATTATCATCCAATAAGTTGCCCATGATACAAAAAAAAAAAATCTCCAGATATATTGATAATTATACCACAATGCATGTGAATCAGAGTTAATATGTAATCTCTTTAGAAATTGTTATTTGAGGTTGAACACTTGCTGAAATAACTTCACCTTTCATTCCTGTCTTCATTAGCCTGTTTGGAACAGAAAAGTAGGATGTTAAACCCCCATTTCAACTTTGATTAGAGCTAACTCTTGGCTGTGTGGGGCTACCTACCATAGAATTGCAGGCCAAATAGGTATAATTGTTTGTTTTATAGCAATTTATTATCTTTTTCTTTTAAGTGTATTATTGTGCTGTTGATGCAGAATTTTAAAGGAATCTTTTATCTGATAGAAATGTCTGGCTTATCAACTTCTGTTGTCACATCCTTGACTGTAGCAGCCATGTTATGTCTAAGATACAAGGAACCATCTTTAGAAAGACCCTTTAAGGTAACACATTTTGCTATTCTATCACTCTTGATCTATTCAACTGATGGCTTGCTTTAGCATACTTATTATGTACTGGTAATCAGGTATTCTAGATAGAGAAAGCATACCCTGTCTTATGTATGACCCATCTCTAAATGAAGAGACAGCATGTGTTTTTATGGAGACAACCCTATTAACCTCCTTGACCCAACAACCCTTCTGTTCCATGTCTTTGTCTTTCAAAACACTTGACAGTACAGCTTTGGGGGGTTGGATGGCCAAATGGTTAGCATGTGCGCGCTGCATCATAAGGGCTGTCATTGAGTCAACTGGCGTAGTTTCAACTGGTCGCCTGTCCAACTTGGTCGGTTTCCTCCCACTGCTAAAAACCCCTACGCGCGAGCGAATTATTGAAATAAGCTATAATATCAGTGTTGTTCTCACTGTGTAGTCTTCACTCCCACAGACTGGTGGCCTTGCTTGATGTGTCAGCCGAATGTTACCATATAACTACAGACATGATCATTACATTGTTTGACCAATACTATCAAGACCAAATTAAAATGTTCATTTTTTTTTTCACAGCTTCATTTATCAATACCAATCTCGATATTTGTGATCAGTTTGGTGATAGTTTTGGTATCGTTTTATCAAAAACCAAAAGAGAGCGGACTGGCTATATTGATAATATCAATAGGAATACCATTATATTTCATTGGACCAAGATGGAAAAATAGACCACCTGCAATACAAAGAAAATTTGGTAACTATGTTTTAGTTAAATTCATATTTCATACTTTGCACTATATGCTAGTGTTTATAATGGAGTACTTGTGGTTTCAAACAGAGGAACATTCTGGGTTGGAATACCATCATAAGTCAACAAGAACCCTTGGCAGTTGGAAATTGAATATTTCTCTCCTTGTATTGAAAATGACCAAAGTACTGTGTTGATGAGACTTACCGGTTGATGAGAGAGAGAGAGAAGAGAGAAGAGAAGAGAGAGAGAGAGAGAGAGGTCATTTTGGGACTAACATATGGTTCAGTTTTATTTCAAAAATTAGCTTGCACAGCATGCCTCTAGAGGTCACAATTTTTTTTATCGGATTTTGATGAAACTTGAAATGTAGGTTTTTAACCCAAGGATCTCAGTTCCTTTCAATACGAATATATCACCATTACACCCTAATGATGGTTGAATTTGAATTTCTTGAAAATCAGACTGAAACTGCCCGACAATATGGCTGCTGCTTCTATGCAAATAGTGTCAAAGTATTTAATTTCAAGGTTGTGGACCCTCTAGAAGTCACAATTTTTATCTGATCTTGATGAAACTTAAAATATATGTTTATATCCAAAACATCATGGTTTCATTCGATATTCGTGCATATCGGATCGTAACTTCCTGGATTATGGCCCTCGATTGTTCCAAAAATCACATTATTTTGAGCTTGTTCTCTATTTATCTCTTGCAAAATGTGGGCATATCTTGCATGACAAGGCTGCTAAAATCCAAAGTGAAAATCTAGTTATTTCGTTACTATCATTAACACTCCAAAGTGAGAACATTTTCTAGCACTTAATGGATTGAATATCATTATTGTTATTATTAATGCTGGTTCAAATAAAATAATGGTATTTATTTTTTGCTTATAGATTACATGACAAGGTTATTACAAAAGATTATGTTTATTGTTCCTGAGGAGGATCATGAAGATTAATTGGTTTCTCGGATTAAATGATAGTATACCAGAGGAATATCCCATGTGCAGTGCTGATACTTTTGTCTTTCACATTTGACTTGTGATTTTCATTCTACTATGAACACGTTCCAATGGGCTAATGTCATACCTCATTTTCTGTTAACTTTTTACATTTTTGACTTGATGAATTTCAACTAAATTTGGTGGTTATATTGCTCAGCCCCATAGGACAAGGATATGGGCACCTTGAAGAGGAAAATTTATGCATTTACAACTTATTCTAAATGCTCATTGCATTCCAACTAAATTTGGTAGATATGAAGGTGATGATTATCCATAGTTGTCAAATAAAGTGCATCTGCCCCATAAAGGGGAGTTTCAGGACACGATGAAGAGGAGGAATATTTAGATATTTTCTTGTCACAGCATTTTAAATGGACGTGGGATTTTATGTGCCTATGTATAATTAAACTACCCAAAATTGGGCAAATATAGACATTATTTATATATCAAATTATATTTTTGCCGGACTGAGAAGTGACATCACAGTCACCACAGTTTACATTAACTCTAGTATCAAATCCACATGTGGGTGATAGCTCATTTTGTCAATTACATGTATACAGTTTTAAAATTCTATATTGATATCACTGATTGTTTTGAATTGTCCTGATTAATTTCATCAATTGTATTGTTTATAAGTGACCTTATCAATTCATTTAATTATTTTTTTAATCAACTTTATTAATTTCTTTAAATGTGGTTATATTGAAGTGACCTTATTAATTTCTTTATATGTGATCTTATTAATTATATAAATTGTTGTTGTTTGTTTGAAGTGATCTTATTAATATCACAAATTGTTATTGTTTTGAAGTGATCACATGTGGATGTTTTTAATCATAATTAATTAACTTTTTATACAACACCATAGTGAGAATGTCTCTTCCAGGTACTAGTCAGGTTCAGATTTTTTTATGGATTATTTTTATATTTGGCGTTGGATTAAGTGTGAAAGAGAATAATTAATATTATGCAACCTTCAACAATTTTGACCACAGAGATGTCTTTCTATTTTATATTATAGAAAATGTTTATTTGAATATACATTTCATTATACTTTTTTATGATGTACTTTTATTTTTTGAAATAAACATTGTTCACTGATGATTTTGATTTTAGTTAGCCTGGTTTCATCCTTGTTATCGGTGCAGGACAGAGGGCCTGGAAAGGAAAAATGTCTGGTCATTTGGATGAGACAAAAATACAATAATATACCGTTGGCAGAACATTAAAGATCCCCAACAGTTGAAAATTGAAAAGAGTAGGCACAGTGTCCTTCATAGCCAAGTTGGTGAAAAAATTTTATGAAACCCTATTTCATATCATTATACCATAATTTTTTGGATACAATTAAAAAATTCCCCATGTATTAAAAATAACCACAAGTTGATTATTTCTGGGCAGATTACTGTCCTGACAAACGTAGCTCCCAGTCAAGACATTCATTCTTGATCTATGAACAAAGTCACCCTGGAACATTTTCACCCTAGAAATCCAATATATAATTCGGAATGAAGCTTTCAGCAGATGTATATTATTTGTATCAAATATACGAAAATAACTAGAGGTTTATATAGAATATTTTATTTCAGTACAAAAAAATGACATGCACACATTTACTAGACATATAAAATAATATTACATACAGAATGGTAAGAAAATGACATGCAGAAAGCAAAGTATAAGTGTGAATATATGTATTATGAATTGGTCCATTATTTAATGTACTTCCTATTACATGATTAAATGGTTGATGGGTGTCTGAAGGACTAGAATCAGGGTAACATTGCAAATAGGAATTCTGTATAAATAAATTAGATGGATACTGATTAAATTAACATTTACCAAATGACGTACAAATAAACAGAAAAATAACAAAATTTGACAAATAGGATGCAGAGCCGGATTTACTTACTTGTTGGCCCTAGACCAAACTCATTGTGCTCCAAAGTTACAGAAATGTTGCAACAATATGCTTGCTCATTGCACAACAAATTCATTTCACTGGGCCTCCGGTCAATGACCTACTATGCCTATTGGTAAGTCCGGCCCTGATAGGAAGACAAAATGGGCACTGGGTTAACTGATGCCAATGGTATACAAGTATTGTAAATGATATCTTTATCTAGAATTATGATATTTTTCTAATTTCCATATATGGTATTACCCCTAATACTACAGCCACATATATCATCAATTTATTTTCGTAGAAACTACATCATCTTTAATCATTACTATGTTGTCTAATATTGATCTCTGAATGTTTAAAATGCATATGACGTGAGTATTTTCAGAATCAATAAAGACACCACTAAATTACCAATTAAAAAAAAATTAATATATTTAATTACAATAAAAGTATAAAAATGTAATAAATAGCATGTAAACTTCATTGATTATAATTAACATAGATAAATTGATCAACAAAAATTGTTTATCAATCAACAAAAATTGTTTATCATCAATTACTCAGGACCATGATCACTGAGATTTTCTCCCTCTAAGATTTCTATAATAACAAAACTAATTAAAGTTAACAGCAAGCTCACAACAAAAAATAATTCAGCTGTGAAAAGAACATTCATTTAATACTGAAAGCATGCATATTATTGGTGATTTTAAATATCTAAACATAAAATGTCATGCTTTAACTAGCTTTTAATTTTATAGTTGTTTTCATTGAAGAACAAGCTGAGCAAATCTTTTACCCCATTAACAACACAAGAAAACAATAAAAACGGGCCAAATTTTCATGGATAATTTACCCAACTATTGATAGATAAAATAAAGTAGACATACACAAAGGGACTGTAAGTGTAATATGACTTGAATTGAAATGCACATTTTGAATATGGAAAAAATTGTAAAATTTTGAATCAATCATGACATAGATCATGGATAATTTTTCAATGGTGACATGTTTTCAAATAATAATAAAATAATATGTCAATTAAGTCATATAGAACATTCCAGCTGTTCTTGTAAAGAAAAGGAACCTATTTTAAAATTATGTTATTAATAAAACAAAACATTTCACAAAAGAAAACACAAGAAATTGGCATATTTGGCATGTTAAGGTTGACTGCAGTAAGATTTTAAGGTTTCATAAGATAAAGTTTGATTCATTAGAAGCTTATTTCTTCTTTTTGCCCAGTGTGGAAGCCTGTTGAGCTGCAACTTTCCGTTGATTAAAAGCGTTGATTTCTTCCTCTAAACGTTTCTTACTGTCTTCTAGTTTACGTTTCTCGTCAGCGTGCTGTTTCTTTAAACCATCAAATCTTACATGAAGCTGAAGAATGGAAAATATGAGAATATATTACAAAAGTTTATAATCGATGATTTAAATTATGAAACTTCACAAAGCTGGTTTACGTTATACTTTGTACTGTAAATATAGTTTCCCAAATATTAAACAAGAGGTGTGGTCTAAGGGGAGATAATATGAGCTAAGGGTCTTCAGAACAGAGTTACCTCCCTTCAATCTAAGCGAAACAAGTTTTTGAACATTGCAGAAATAATTATTGCAATGGAATTATTGTATAACATTATATGCTATATTCTAGATATATATCCCTTTAAATACTTACCTATATAACTTCAACAAATAATATAAAATTCATAAGTCTATTTAGGTTTTTTTATGTTTTGCAAAAATCAATGAACTTACATCTTTCTCAGCATCTTTCAATTCTCCTTCCTTTTCTTTGACTCTAATAACAAAAGTTTGTCTCATTTCTTCTTCTTTCTTCTGTAGATCTGATACATGCTGTTGGCGTTTTATTTCATAAGTTTCTGATAAACTAAATAATAAAGATGGGATGTCAAAATCTAGTAAATAAATTTAAACATACAAATATTTAGCCCTCTTTTCCTAGTTAGTCCTATGACTGGATATATTATTCCTTTTTAAAATACAGATGTGATGTCATCCTTTGATGTTGGCGTACCATTATTTCCAGTGGTACGCCTCGTGCAGTATCAATATATTACTTAATGTCTCGCTCGCGACCATTAAACCATACATAATTATATGTATTATTTCTTTCATTTTTCATCAAATATTCTTTTTCCTTTTGTTAACTGTGGTTTAATTTTGTGACTGCTTAAAAATTATGAGCTGATCACAGAGTATATATCTAGGATAGTGAGGATTCAATCAGTGGAAGGATCAAATTCATAAATAACAATATACCATTTTACTACCCAAATCATCATATTGAGTGGATGTTAAATCCCTTTTCTCTTTCATTTTGTGCTCATTAAGTTTTTGCCATTACTCTCAATTTAGACATTTCTGAATTTGTGAAAACTTGATCATGATTGGATTTTCATATTATGCACATGGTTGATTAAAATCAACATTCCCGATCAAGCATTTCTTGAGGTTTATTTAACAAAAACCAAAATATCAAAGGTAGATAATTACTCGGCTTGAATTCAATGGGATTAAAATGAGACTCATCAAAATAATTTATCCTACAATAATAGGTGATGACGGCTTGTTTACTTTATATAACAATGAGCAGCTTTAAAATTATAGCAACAAACTTATTGTAACTGTGACATCAGACAGTATTCTTACCTCTTAGCATCAGAATCTGAAAAACCCATTTCTTCTAATTTATGTCGTCTGTAAAGTTCATAATGTTTCTTATGGGTTGTCTCCCTTAAATCCTCCATATTTGTTCTGATAATCATTTCTCGTAGCTTCACAAAATCACAATGGTTCTCATTTTCAACTAAAATAATACATGGGAGAGAATACAAATCAGATTTATATTGTGAACAAACGGATGCCATGCAAGATACGTCCACATTTTGCAAGAGATGGACTAGGAGAATGAGCTAAAAAAACAAGCCAACAGTGAGGCTGATGTCCCCCGCCGAAATTGCAAAATAAATAGATGACACATATTAATTAATCGCACATTTATTTTTTTCACTAAGTTTCATCACTCTCTATCAGATAGAATCAAGATTATCTTGTCCCAAACCATCGACAAATGAAATCGATTAGCTCTGCTTAGCTTCAGCTCGAAATGTTAATTATTGAACTCAGTCAAGACATTCACCTAATGAACATCTACATATACATCAAGTTTAAACATTCACCTAATAGACACCTATGCCAAGTTTGAACATTCTACCTCAATTAGAAGGAGAGTTATTGTGTTCCAAAGTTTCTACCAATCAAATTGCTTATCACTCTGCTTACCCTCAGCAAAAAATGTTCATTATCGAACTTAGTTAAGGTATTCATATAATAAATCTATACACCAAGTTTCATCAATCTCACTTAATTAGAACTAAAGTTATCGTGTCCCAAAGCTTACCCTAAGCGGAAAATGCTCATCTTCGAACTCCATCAAGGCATTGACCTAATCAACACATACACCAAGTTTGAACATTCTAGCTCAATTAGGAAGAGAGTTATCGTGCCCCAAAGTATCAACCAATCAAATTGCTTATCTCTGCTTACCCTAAGCAGAAAATGTTCATCTTCGAACTCCATCAAGGCATTGACCTAATAAACACATACACCAAGTTTGAACATTCTAGCTCAATTAAAAGTTATCGTGTCCCAAAGCATCAACCAATCAAATTGCTTATCTCTGCTTACCCTAAGCGGAAAATGCTCATCTTCGAACTCCATCAAGGCATTGACCTAATCAACACATACACCAAGTTTGAACATTCTAGCCCAATTAGGAAGAGAGTTATCGTGTCCCAAAGCATCAACCAATCAAATTGCTTATCTCTGCTTACCCTAAGCGGAAAATGCTCATCTTCGAACTCCATCAAGGCATTGACCTAATAAACACATACACCAAGTTTGAACATTCTAGCTCAATTAGGAAGAGAGTTATTGTGTCCCAAAAAGTGTGACGGACAGACAGACGGACAGACAGACAGACAGACGGACAGACAGACGGACGAACCCATTTTAATAGTCCCCTGCTTTCTTCGAAAGGCGGGGGACAAAAAGCATACAATAAAGGGCCATAATCCAGGTAGTTATGTGACAATATCAAGAGGAACTGGAGGAACCGAAATCTTTGGGTTATAAACATCCATTTTAAGATTCATCAAAATTAGATAAAAATTGTGACCTCTGGCTCTAAAGTGTCCACAAGCTAAAAATGTGATTTTTCGTACAATTAGGGGCCATAATCCATGAAGTAACAGTCTGATACATGCCAATATCGAAATGAACTTTGTAAAATAAACCTATGTTTCAAGTTTCGTCAAAATCGGTTAAAAACTGTTACCTGTAGAATGTCCACAAACAAAACGGACAAGGGTGAAGACAATATACGTCAACATGGTTTGGGTTACCTGTTTCAGTGTTTCTCTTGATTGGAAGTCTCTCAGATGAAAATGTGGGCCTATAAAATGGGCTTCAAGAGAGCTTTTAACAGCTCAATCTTGCGGACATCGATGGGGTAAATTTTGTGGATACTGCTGTGTCAATTTTTGGATATTGGTGGATCAATTTTGTGATAAAGATTTATTTAATAACTTTTTTGTCAAATAAAATGAATAAATTTTCCTACATGACAACATATAGCTTCTAAACAGGCTCCCGACATAATGATATAAATGGATGGTAACCTCTTACATCACTGTAACTCTATTTTTGTAATAATAAGGTCTGAATTTATAATAACTCTTTCACTGCCAAGTTAGTACATGTACAATCTAAATTTATTAGTCGTAAATTGCCATGTACGACCTAATTCCCCAAGCTAAATGTAGATGGCGTAGATGCTCTACTGGTATCTTAGTTCATTCTATATACAACTTGGATCGTCTGCTAGTGAATTAGTCTGCTAGTGAATAAGGTAACCTGTACCATTGATATCATTCCCACATGGCTTGTTTATAACGTCAATGTCACAGGATTTTCAATTGTGCATTGTTTACAAATCCTATTGTTCATTGAAGATGGCTGCGAAACGCAATCTTAAAGGATTATTTCTCTGAGAAAGAAGTAGCTGATTTATTAGCTGATTCTGATAGCGGGGAAGACTATTTTCTGTTGGATAATGAGAGTGAAGTGAATCTCATTACAAAAGGTCGAAAAAAAATTCAAAACCTGGGCATTTTACATCTAATCTTTTTAATAGGCCTGGGCAGTGAAAGAATTAATAGTAAAAAGAAAAATTCCTATGAACTAAACACTGTAACCCAGGTATCGTTTAATCTTGTGTATCTAGCACTAATTTCTTTCACATTCGTTTAATATTAAATCTTTGTTTAAAAATTCATAAAAATTGTTTAAAATCACCAAAAATCATCTAATTTGTACATGTGTCCAGTTTAAAGCTGACTGATTAATTTTGATAATGAGTGTCCAATTTACAATTACAGTGGACTCTGTCACATCCGATCTCTGATCACTCCGGATTGCTGTGACATCCGGTATGATTTTCATGTCCCGATTTATTTCCTTATTACTTCAGCCAAAAAATCGCTGGTAAATCCGAATTCTGTATGTTCCGGATTCCGAAATCAATCAGCCGTCCCGTCACATAATTTCCATTGAATCGACACCGTATAATCCGTACTTCAAACGGTGGGTGTGAAGCATCCAATTATCGGTGAGATTAAAACTCAATGGGTGTGAAGCCAGAAAAGATTAACAAGTAATCACCAATCAATTATCGGTGAGATTAAAACTCGCAAGAGCCGGTCTGTGTTGATTACTTTGATCGGTAAAGCAGTTAACCCGAGATGTTTTAAGGGAGTGGACAAGATCAACCTGCCAGTCAATTGGTCGGCCAATCGCAAAGCTTGGATGACAGGTGCCGTTTACTTTGATTGGCTTGAAAAACTGGACATAGAACGACAGATTATAAATGAACACGTAACAGAGTGGACAATTGAGGGGACGATGAAGAATATACATTAATGACAGACTTGACCTATTCAAAATTCCTACGCATGCTCAACGACATTAAAAGCTTCGCACAGATTAAGGACGAAAAGATGATCGCAACAATTCATTTGTTAGAAGATGTTGCCCAGGACTCCGCCTTACGATATGCTTCCGGTAATCTTAAGCAAACTACTTTAAACGATTACATTCATTGATATTTATAAATATATTGTACGCATGCATTGATATTACATGTAAACGATTTTATGAATATATTGTACGCATGCATTGTTATTGTTAATTATTTAATATAATAAAATTTTGAAAGTACAGAAAAATTTATCATTTATAAAGGGAATAGCATTCTGGTGATTCGAAGCTACAATATAAAAATACTTCCGGTTTTCGAAGTTAGTCAGAAATATATTTCTATGGTTACAGTATTTCCGGTTTTGGAGAAAGCTTGGTATTCCGAAACGCTGTGTGATCCGAATTATTGTAACGATCCCGTACGATGTCGGATGTGACAGATTCCACTGTATTTAATTTCCTGATCACTGTTCAAAAATTAATCATTATACATCATTAATCAATTGGGTTGTTTATTTTTTAACAATGATTGAGAAATTAAACACTTGTAAATTGGACACTCATTATCAAAATTGAATGGTCAGCTTTAAACTGGACAGAAGTACAAATTAAACAATTTATGGTGATTTTAAACGGTTTTTACAAATTTTTGAACAGAGATTGGATATCAAATGTATGTGAAAGAAATTAGTGCTAGATACACAAGATTAAACGATACCTGGGTTACAGTGAAAAGTGATGAGAAAATGTGGTAACAGAATTTCACATAATTTGATGTGCACAAAATAACCCACAAGTTGATTTCAATATTATTTTATATGAGGTGATATCGTGGAACTTAACCCCTGAATATCTCATATAAATTTATGCCATTAAAGAATATCAAAAGACAATAATTACCTTGAACTGTACCCCATGGATATTGTCTGGCTTTAACCATTTTGTTACCAATCTTAACTTCATCATTAGATCCAACAATAGCAAATGGTATGACACCCTAAAAATACATTGATGGAGAACATTACAAAACATTATTTACAATCTATGATACCCAAGTTTTATTTTACACTGATTTACATGAACCATATACTTAACAACTAAGTTGTAAAAAAAAAAAAAATAGGGAGATACAAAAGGATTTGTTAGCTATGTGAAGTCCTCAAGTGAGAAGTGGCATCAAGTTTTTTTAGAAAGAGTAAGCATTTATACATGCTTTGCTTTTAGAACTTCATTTATATTTGTAAGTATACGTAGTATTAACTGCAAAGGTATACTTACGTTCATGGCCGTATTTGTTTCAGCCACAGTTTCATCATCCGTGGGAAACTGATAGATCTTGATACCATTAGTTACCAACTCTTGCATTATCTACAATATTCAATATAACAACATATCATCAACAAACATCAAATTATATATTACCGGTATACATGATGGAATGTTCTGGAATAAACTGTCTCAATCCCAGTAACCATCCAGTAAACAAAAGAATATCAGGCAATAAATCACAAATTGCAAATCAAAACAGCAAAAGCTTATTCAAAACCCTGGACAATGACATAAAAGAATCATAGGCATCAAAATCGACAGTCTTAATTAACCAGATGATACAATACAGAGTGTAATGACAGAAAGTTTACCTTTGTTTTAAATTTATGAAGTTCTGTTTTAGTAATAGTATCAGCTTTAGCTATAACAGGTATAACATTGACTTTACTGTCTAATTTCTTCATTGTTACCAAATCTATAGCTTTCAGTCTAAAAATAGAAATTTATGCAAGATTATTAAAACTTATTAATACATAATGCTTGTACATTGATTGAAGACATCATATAGTTTAAATTATTACACATTATTAGGCCACACAATTTCATTTTCTGTTCTTTGGGAAGATCTTTAAAATTTGTTCTTTTTAGTTCTCTGAGAAAAAGACTAATTTAAATACCAAAAATACTTGGCTGCGCTATTCAAGAGCTTTTAGTTCCAAATATTAAAATGTGATTCAAGTGGCTGTTTATTTATCAAACTGGTGTTGTCTTACAGTCAACTTGATATACGGAAAGCATTTGAAGAGTCCAGGGTAAGAACGATCAAAGTCACTTTTTCCCCGAACCCCAGTTAATGGCGCCATCTGGTAGCAAATTGTATAAGCTTTTTGTGAAACAATCAATTTCAGGTAAAAACTATCGGAGTGACATCGAACCAAGGCCTTCTGAAATGGCCTCCCGGACAAATACAAGTCCATCGTACCCTTTATTTAACCTTAATTTGCCTGAAAAGTTGAAGTCAGTTGTACTGGTAATTATGGTTCGTGTTAAACCTCATTTTGAAGTTCTAATTAAACCCACTCATTGTTCTGTTTGCCTCAAACATTATCGTCCAAAAGTCTGTTTTGTGTTTTACACGGAAAGACAAAAAATGTGACTTAGATCGTTCTTCCCCTGGACTCTTCATTTTAGTCAAACCCACTTTACAGAATCCCCATCAAATTTTATTACTGGTAGCCATTCACCACAGGTGGGAAATCGGAGTCCAGCAAATCGGACTAATGTCTTGTGACTCAACTTGAAATATTTATTGCGACTCAGCGCTAATCCAATTTGTTGTCAGGTTTCATATAGTCATGTAGTAGATACATATCCTCCTGCATCCAGGAATTTGAACTTTTTTTTTAAATTGCATTACACTGAATCTCTGCATCATGCTGTTGCCATGGAAATGGGTCAACTAAACCGAAATTCACTTCATTCAATGTTAAAATTATAGTTTCTATTTCTGGTTTTTAAAAATTATTAATCATATTACTAAACATGGTTTTGGCTTACGAATGTCCTGTTGGTGCTATGAAATATAAACAAGCATGTAGACGTCTATCCTGATAATTGTGGATTGATCGTTTTATCTTCAGTTCTTCTTGAAGGTAGGCATCAAACTGGGTATCAATATATTCAACAATCGCCTTCCAGCTATAAATATTAGTCAATAAATATCAATAATCTTATTTATCTTTGAACTTTCATTTACAATTTCATGTCCACTGATTGCAAGTTATTAAAAGACATTAAATTATCTACTATGAATAATTACGGTATTTAATATTAATTATGTAATTATTGAATGATGATGACATGATGATGGTAATTATATGAAGTCAATGATAAAGGTAATAATTATGATTATGAAACCATTTATGAGTTTATGAGAAAGAAAAATATTTAATTATCCATTGATTAAAGATTAAAAATCACGATCAATTAGGATCAATGAAAGTCCAAGCTAAAATAAAAAATGCCAAATAACAAAGAAAATAGTCACATCTTCTAAAACAAATTTTTCTAAATTTCTACTAACAAATGAAAGTTTAAGAATATATAAATTTAAAAAACCAATTGGAGGCTGATGGCCCTCGCCACAGTCCCAAAATAAATAGATGACATTCATTAATTGCACATTTATCTTACTATAAGCTTACAACATTGATGTAATGTAATGAAACTACACATAGCTCTCCCTCAATTAAAAATAGAGTTATCAGGTTCCAAAGCATCAACAATTCAAATTACCCTTTCCTGCAACCTACTTGGAAGATGCTCCTCAAAGAACTCAACCAAGACATTCATCTAATGAACACCTACACCAAGTTTGAACATTTTACATCAATTAGAAACAAAGTTGTGTCCAAAGTCTAGAGCAATCAAATTGCTTACCTCTGCTTAACGTATTCGGCAATCTCAGTCAAGAAATTTATCTAATTAATGCACATCTACACCAGGTTTAGTTATTTTAGATAGATCAGAAATAGAGTTTTTGTTTTCCAAATAGTTTTACAGACAAACTGATAAACCCATTTTAATAATCCCCCAGCTTTCATCAAAAATTAAAAAACAGTAAATGTGCAGGACACATCATGACTAAAAGATAACTATATTAAAAAGACAAGTATTAATTAAAACATGATAAATAATAAGAAATTATGTAACTGAAATACAAAAAAGATCCTCTAATATAGGCTATATACTGTACACAAATAGGCAAGAAGTCTATATATTGCAACAGGGCATAAATTTGAAAATAATTATACAAAAATATAGCACCGAGATTTAGATAGGAGCTGGCGGTTCTTGCTTTAATAGTTTAAAATTACAAAATGAAAAATGATCATAATGAAAATTTCAGTCAAATTACTTTATTTTGAGAGATGTTATAAATGTTTTGACTAGATATAGCATAAAAAGTTGTGATTGTCAAATTACTAGGATAATAAACTACGTCTAATCTACATGTACTTTATAGCTCTGCCATTTAACAGTTGAGTGAGTTGATTATGACATGTGCATAAATGTCTAAATAATAATTTATTAACTAACATTTGAAGCCAGACAAAAGGTCTGCAATAGGCAGATTTAGCTCTTACATAATGCATCTTTATGGTCTCACCAAGAATGAAAAATTCAATGATTCCATAACAAACATTTTTTGCTTGATCACATCTATCACAACTAATGTTCAACACAAAACTATCATTGATTTAATACTTTAGATTTGAAGTTTCAAATTCTAAAAGTAAACACCCAGACAGTGTCTTATCTCTTAACCAGACCAGTGAAAGGAATTTACACCCAATGTTTTTGTATAAAGACTTCTCACCTAAAACACTTAATATAGATACTAAATACAATACAAATAAAATATTGATATACCGATATATTCCTTGACGATATACATATGAGATACGAGTCCGCAGAAGCCCATATTTTATACATAAAGCCCCTCATCCAATATGGAATGAGAAAATGAAAGTAGAGATAAAGATATACACCCTAACCAGATGAGAATACATTAAGAGTACAGTGAAGAGTCTATACAAGGCTAAAATAACAGGAGTAGGAAGCTGCGACACGCCAACACATTAGCTCACCTATCCTCCTTATTTAACTGATCGCCAAAGCCCTGCGAATCCACAATCGTCATTTTTAACATAACGTTCTTTTCTTTTAAATCTGAAATTTGAAAGGAAGCAGAAAATGGTATGGAATGAGTTCATTTTCCCCAATTACCAACATGAAATTCTTACCTATCCTCCTTATTTATTTGGTCACCGAAGCCCACAGTATCAACACAGTTGAGTTTCATTCGAACGTTGCTTTCTCGCAGGTCTATTAATAATATCAAGTAAAATTTATATAAATTTATAGTCATGCCAAATCAGTTCCACAAACATGTTAAACATTGGTTAGTCGGTTTTAGTAACATTTTAGAGGAAATTTTGTAAAATGTAACCCGATACTATAATTTACATGCAGCGCATTGTGTTTCAAACAAGATTTTAATTTCATTCCAAATTGCTCTTTTTGGCATAAATTCTTCATTTAGATTTAATTTTCTATTTAGCAGGTGTTTGGCTATTCAAGTTATTAGTTCTCAAATCATGATGCGTTTATTTAAAGAGACAATTATGATCAGTTATTCCCTTTTGTATGTCATTATTAATACCATTACCAAACCCAACATAAAATAAAAGTAGTAGTATGTCTTGGAGTTATCAATGGAGAAATTAACGAAACAGAAGATCCTTAAAAGAAAGGCTTTGCGTTTTTTAACAAATGCTATCTGTCTGTGACCTACATGTAGTAACTTCAAGGGCTATACTGTAAATTTGCCTCTGTAAAGTTATAATTGCATGAGCTCAAACATCTGAAGGTTTGTAATTATCTACTAAAATCCTGAAGCACTCCTGTACAAATTGCACTTTTCTCAGTCAATAATGAACAGATTACTAAGCTCAAATTTGAATAGTCCTTAGAAATTACATACAACCAGATAAAGTAGACATAAACAAGGAAATAGTCAGCTTTATGTTTCTTTAAGCTTCATAGTCTTGATCATTCCAGTCTTGATTGTCTCCACTCTGACTACAATGAATTTCAGTTTGGACAAAATAGCATCATTTCTCCACATGGTAACTGGTTGTATAGCTGTTACCGTATACCACTTTATATATGTATACAGGAAATTCAACAACCAACTATAAGATGTAAACAAATCTAGGTATGACCCTTGACACTGTCTACAAATTTGAAGCTGTTTTGTCTAGACTGATATTCTTTCTAATCAACAAAGCAGATAAAATTTAGGAAGGACCAAAAATGGAAACATTACAATTATAAATAAACTGTATTTAATTTGAAATACATTGGCAAGCAAAGTATAATTTAAACAGCTTTTGTCGGGTGTTACCGTATGTATGGGACTTGAGTTTTACATCTTGCAGATCATGACTACTTGGTGTTGAATCAAAATTTGTATTAAACAGGGTGTCCATCATAGTAGACTTGCCTATTCCAGTCTCACCTGAAATTGAAAAAGAATAAGGTATATTCACATGATAGTTGCCCAGTAATGAGATTCACATCCATTTAACACAAAAGTTATTTTGAGACTAATAACTAACTGGGATCTTGTAGTCGAATAAATTGAAAACCTTGGATAAAACCCACCTGGGCAAAACTGCCTATGCTGTTTATTAAGGCTGAAAATTTTATTGACTGGTTTGCAGTTTTTGAAAACTTTACAATAAATACTTTGACATGAAGAGTATTTACACAGTTTGAAAAAAAATAATCTAAATAAATAAAAATAATCTTTACCTGCATCATGCAGGTCAAGATTATGATGATTAAAAGATTTGATGACATGTAATTTTACTCTACATGAAAGTAACATTATTTAAAGCTTCACTGAGAATTTCCTACGAAATGTTTTTCTTTTAACCTTACATGTATTTGAGGTTCTGTAACTTTAACATGCCTTGAAAATTGGAAGTGGGAGGCGACTAGTATGTGTCTCTCTGAGATTGTCTGTTGTACTAACTGGACGGGTAGGCCTGTCATCCTTCGGTTAGAAACACATACTAGTCGCCTCCCACTTCCGATTTCCAAGGCATAGTCCTAACCTTGACTCTCATATAAATAAACTATTTGGTACTAATTTGTACCTAAATATATTAAACCCCTCGGACGCCATGTTGAATTACACAGAATTTAACGTTTTAAAAACTTAACTACTTTATGGAATCGACGACAAATCTAAACTTGGGCACTCCAACCATTTTTATTTTTGTTTTACAATGCTCTACCACTGAGTGTTCCAACTTTGGATTTATATTTAGCCTTATAATCCTCTCACGAGTGTTATCTCAACACCGTTGTCCATATACTATCCCTATATTGTTATGACAAGTAACAATGTTACAAACCAACCAAAGGCATCCTAGTTAGCAAAATTATGGACACTAGCACTTCAATCTAAACGATCAGTTGTCAATCCTCTGGACAACCCCGGTAAGCGAGCTACCGACCCTGGTAACAAATTCGCAAACCGTGTCGATAGGCCAAACCTGGTTACCCCGCCAATTAGTAACCATGGAAACCCCCACAAGGTTTTCGGAACAGTATAAATAAAAACGCCCGCCATGCACGTCCAATCAGCATGAAGAGTTCAATATGAACTAAACTAGTCATTGGCACCTGGGATAACCAGGTCTTAATAGCCACTGTTATCTCTTATACTAACTTTAACATGCCTTTATAATTAATTGTTACACCTTTCAGGTCTTGGTGAAGTTGGGTTGAAGATAGTTTATATTTTTTTTCAAAATTAGCCTCATTTTGAAGTGTTAACAGGTACAAACTAGTGATGACTTTGATCATTACTAATTTGATTCTTTATCAAACATTAAAATTCAAATATTGTTACATCATATTCTTTGATGCTGGCGTACCACTATTTCAAATAATGTGCAGGCAATGTGCCAATCATACATTATTTGAACTAAATAAAATATTGGACTTAACGTCTCGCTCTCGACCATTAAACAACACATTAAGAACTTTTTTTATCCTGTGTTGCTGAAGAAATATTCATCAATAATACACAGTACTTACCTACACACAATATATTAAAACAGAAACCCTGGGCTACTGATTTATTTACCAGTTGGTCAGGTAAACTATCAAAACCAACATGACCAGTTAGATTCAACGTCCTGCTTAAATGATTCAGGGTCTGTAATTATAAATTTCAATTTATTATGAATTTGTTAATCATAGAGGTACTGATAGTGTTTCCTGATATATCTTCTCAAATTGGAGTAATATGACCTCTCTAGTCTAGAAAAAAAGAAGAAAATGTTGACTTTTAATTACACAAGATGTGCAATTTAGGATACTAACTTTTTAAACTACCGGATATTTTAATTGTGCAAAAATATAAGAAAGCTTATATTTTCTTAAAATTCTAATATTGTCATGGATTATTCTTACGACATGGTGGAAGTTCCGGTAGCGCATGCGCAAGTTACAAACTGTTGGACTTGCAGTTTGCAAGAGGGGATGTCGTAAGAATAGGCAATGCTTTATCTTTATGAGATCATTGTAAAATAGCTGATTTCCTATTTTACTTTTAGGGAAATGAAAATGAAATGAAATGGAGTTTAACGTCCTACTGTTCTGCTCCTAACCTGGGCTAATGAAGACGGGCATACGCCATACAGTGTGCTATGAGGGAAATTTTGCCCGGACAGCGGCACTATGGCCTACTCTTATATCGAATTCCAACTGCCAAGGGATCTTTTACGTGCACGCCAATGTGTACATGGGACCTCGGTTTTTCGTCCCATCCGAACGACTAGACAGCTTTCCTTGTCAGCCCCTCCGTCCTGCATCACTGACAAGGGAGAACCACGCCGGAAAATCTGGATGAACTTTCTCGGCCAATGCAGTGATCGAACACCCGATCTCCAGGCTAGCGAGCTAGCGTCTTACCCACTTAGCCACGTGATCCCCTACTTTTAGGGAATATATGATAATATTCTTAATATATGTAAAACACTTATCTAAATATCATTTATTTTATGAAAATCAATTGATAAAAATACTTAAAATATCTTTCAAACATTAGAAAATGACTCACTGGCACAGCTGATTGCATTCTATACATGGTATAGTGCAAGGAATTCCTCTATTGCTGGGATGTATTACATAATATTCTTAATTTATATATAAGAAAATCACACAAATACTATTTTGCTATAATTAATTCAAATAAACAACTCACTGGACAGCAAAGCCGATTTGATTCTATATGTGATAAAATGCAATGAATTTCCCAATTCCTGGGATATATAGGGGATGTCGTAAAAATAGGCAATGCTTTATTATCTCTACGACGACATCATTCTAAAAATATTCTTACGACAAACTCGTCTAAAAATGACTCCATCTCCTGCAAACGGCAAAATGGTTCAACATTTCGTAACATGCACATGCGCTACCGCCAGATCTTCCACCATGTTGTAAGAAGTGTCCATAATTCTTAGGACTCGTCCTACTCCTAAGGAGTAAGAACTAAAGAAGAGTAGCCATGGAATTCTAATATACAATATTGTTGTACATTTAGGAAATAAGTGCAATTATTAATTTTGCACGGTACTATGTATGTAAGATCCAATAAAATGTTTAGAGTGCTTAAAGAAAGAAGAATTGTCTTTAATCTGGCCTGGCCTGGGTCACAGTGGGTGAGGCTTGTTTCACTGAGTCAGTGAGTTTCAGTTTCAAATTTAGCTTTGTTTACAAAAATTGAAATAAAGTGCCACATTTAGTTACAAATTCAAAACAAGTAGCATATATAAAATTCTCTCAATTGAAACATATGATTATCTCACCCTTTCAACCTCAGTAGTAGCCATTTTCGCCGCAATTCTTGTAAAAAGTTGAGAAATTCTTCAGATTCTTGGATAAAATTTGATAAAAGATCAAAACCGGATGCGGCGATGACAGATGAACTGCCATGGGCAAACAAAGTAAAACTTGAAATAAAATATTATTTGAGTATTATTTGGAACAACGTTGGTAAATACCTCGTAAATATAAATTTATCAACAAACATAGAATAAAAATAATTTTTTTTTGACGTTGAAGCGAAATAACTGCAAGTAGGTGCGTGAACTATTGACCAATGAAATCACTCGCCACGGCATATTATGCTGCGGAAAACACGGAAGTGATATTTCTACAAGTCGGCTTATTTGACAAGATAGTAAATGGGTGTAAATAATCGGCATTTTCGGTCTGTTTATTTCTGTGAATTTAGGAATATTCGGGTCAGCGCGTAAAGTGCAATTATGGCCGAATCGGCTCCAGAAAAAGAATCGGAGGTGAAAACTGTAGCAGACATTCTAAAACTGCCTGGAAATGGAGAGTTAAAATTCGGATTGTTGATAGGCTTGATCAAAGTGAAACAGGTATCAAATAAAGATGTTGTCGACACCGTCCTCTTCTTGGTAAGCTGATTTTATCGGTATTAATCTAATTAATTGCAGGGTTTCACTTTTAACTAGATTTAATTTGGTCACCCTTTTAATTACCAGCTAATCACAATCTAATTACCTACTTACCTGTTGAGGTAAATGGTTAATTATGAAATGCATCCCACCACTTGAGTTGTCTTGGGTGCAAAAAAGAACATATTGATCAGCACAGGACATGTATAAACAGAGTATCATAATCAGAATTATTTATGCAGTGCATCGATAGAATTTTTTTCATTATTTAATGTCATGGAATTTGTTCTTAAAAGAGTTGATACGATAATTTATTGATTTATTAACAATACAGAACATTTTAAATACATGTTGGATCCTATCGGCTATACAGTATACCAACATGTAGACCGACCGTATTGATTTATTTATGAAATTATTTATGAGGCAGGTAATTATTTGTTTTGATCTCTGTCCACAGTTTTGCAACATAGTTCCACTTAAAATATTTGGTTTGTAAGAAATATGATAATGCAAAATACAATTTTAATATAATTGATCTCTGTCCACAGTTACGCAACCCAGTTCCACTTAAAATATTTGGTTTGTAAGAAATATGATAATGCAAAATATAATTTTAAAATAATTCACATGTGTAACATATCTACATGTACATGTAGTTTCTCTGGGTTTGTCGATCAACTAAACCTTATAATGAAGAACCGATTGTTTCTATAGGCTACATTTAATGCAAATTTATTTTATAGCTACATTGTATGAACACATAATGATGGTCAGGCTTTCTTAACATGTAATAAATTACATTACCTGTACAGTATGGTGTACCGGTTCTATTTCTAATGCTGTATTGATACTAGTCATTATATCACAGATCATGTGATTTCTATTGCCAATTGGATGTTTTAGAATTAGATTGAAATATTTGCGGTAAACATTTATATACCAAGTAATGAATGGAATCAATTTTACTTCAGCAATATATTATAAAGAATATTACATATGATCCACAAGGTCAAATTCCAGGTCAAGCAGAAGGTCATGGTGTATGTACATGTACCATAACATGGTCCTGTAGAAAAAATAATGTGAATTCTGTATTGAATTTGCTTTTTAGTAACACCAAAATTATGAAAATGGATACCCACTGGTTTCTGAGATATTGGCGGCTATGCCAAATTTTGAGACTTCATATCTCCAAAAGTACTGTACAAGCTTGAATGAGCTCAAATATGATACATCATGTTTTGGGTACAAAAGCAATGTATACCGATTTTCCTAAAATTCTGAGATGGTCGGATTAAATCCATTGAGTGAATTTAGATGGAATGACCTAAAGAAAAATAAATGAATAAATACATTGTACATGTGTAAGTTTCTTATGCAGCATACATGTACATCAAAATGGAATACAATTTGAAATTTTGAATATTGGATAGTCATCTGTTATTACATGTATGTTTGACAATAATTGAACATAGAAAAATTGTTCACTCTAACAGAAGTACAGAGAGACTTTATGTAGAATAGAGTGGTATATGTAGGTTTAATCATGACATTTCCTATTGTAGACATACAACCCTTTTTCAACTGATACATTTAATACTGGCCTGACCACCAGCCTCTGCTACTTTTATAAGGGAGTGTTGCTAATCCCCCTCCCAGAGTGGTTGGGATGTCCTGGTGGTCTAGAGTCTCACTCTTCAAGCTCTAGCTTGCCGGTCACTTCTGGCTTGCGGTCTTGGTTTTGATCCCCAGTGTGCCTTGGGGATAGGGGTGCCTTCTCAACTTTGTGGGTTTATTTATGGTAATCCGGTTTCCTCCCACAGGAAAAATCCCTGCAAGTCTGCTAAGTACATTTATAATAAAATATGACAACTTGTGACTTACTTGTTTGTGATATCACTTTTGGTGAAAGCGGATGTTAAGCACTAATAGAAGACGAAGATCCTTGTTTTATAAAACATAAAATAATTATAAATGATAAAAAACAATTCAATATGATTTATGTTTGATCTTGTCAGACCTGAAAAAAAAATCGGAAATTGATTAACATTTTTATTGTTTATTTATAATTGGTAAATACATGTAGAATAATGCATCGGCATTTGAAAAAATGTAAATATTGATAATTACTTCTGGATATACTTGTACATGTACATGCTAGATGTACATGAATATTTTATAATCGACATGTGTAGTAATTCGTTTATTTCTAGCCTGCAGTCAGTAATTAAAGCCTGTATTTCTTGTCCAAGATCTTGATGGAAATCTAATTCTGAATATTCCCTGAATATAATTAATGATATTGATTTATCACTGATTTCCATTTATTATAAATAAAGTTCAAGCAGCTGGATAAATGTACATGTAGGATTATATTGACACATCTTAAATATAATTAAATTCTATTTTATTACAAGTACCAGTATATTCCTGCAATTCTCTACCAAGATGCAACCTTATATACAAGTATTTGATAGGTCATTTTGTTGATATGATCTGAACTCTGGTTTCAAAGAAAATGAGTTTTTCATTGTCACACAAATGTAATTGATATATACATATATAGTGCAATATTCATAAAGGCGATCAGTAAATAAGTTCACAATAAATAAGATGAAAAAGAAATTCTATATGTAACCAGATTCCTGTCAACCATAATTTTGGCAATTGTCTGGTTATGCCAGTATTGGCAGTATTTTTAGATTTAAAATAGAAGATGATTTCCCATTGTAAGTTGTAATATACATGTGTGTTGTTTTCAGCAAACAATATCTTTAAAACAATTGGCACCCCGAAAAAGTTAGAGGTCAATCAATATGTAAGTTTCTTCATATTAAAATCTCTTACAAATCCCTTGGAGTAAATGATAGTCACTGCTGTGCAAGCCAAATATTCCATACACAAATGAAATGATACATGTATGTATGTCCAATTATTCTGCCTCAACAAGCTAATGAATATGGTATTCTAGGGTGGTAGGAATATCAGTTTTGTGATACCAACACTTTTCAATAAAGAAATGAAATGGGGTTTAACATCCTACTTTTTGGCACAAACTGGGCTAATAAAGACTTGTCAAAGATCTGCATGATTTTTATAAATATGATTGTCATTTTTGACATCAAACTGATGTCATCTATCATATTAATTTTGGAAGCGGACTAATGAAACTATCTTAAACAAAGCTTGTGTGGGTTATCTGATGTGGTTCTCTGGAGCATGTATTGACTCCTCGGGTAGGTCAGTAGAAATGAAAGCGATAGTAATGACTTCATTGCTTTGATTCTGAACTGAAGGGAAATTATCTTCAGAAAACACAGGGGGATCAATATTTTTCCAAGTGATGAATACCTCAGGTCCCAAATTAACACAAGTGACAATGTCCGTCCATTTTCTTGTCAGGAGAGATGGACGTCAATTGATTTAACTTGTATTAACAATGAGCAAGATTAGATTAACTGGCTATACTTGTGGAGAGTGGAGTAGCAAACGTACAGCTTTAACCAACAATATCCACCTGTCATGGATGTGGTTTATCCTAACAATATCCACACTATTTATTTACAATTAGTCACATTGCTCTGGTAAATTGATAATAATTAACTACATTCCCTTAGACTAGGGATTTACTTTTAAGGTTAATGACACTGAAATAAAAATAATAGTCTAATATTGAAGCCTTGAATTAATTTTTGTAAATGATTCCCTTAGACTAGGGATTTACTTTTAAGGTTAATCATACTGAAATAAAAATAATATTCTAATATTGAAGCCTTGAATTAATTTTTGATGGATGATCAGAACACAATTTTTATGGGAAACAATCATGCTTTTAGAATAAAATTACAAGAATGTTCCCAGTACATGTACATGTAGTTGAAGCATCCCTTTAAAGTTTTACATTAATATAAAGTAACAGAACACAATTTTTATGGGAAATAATCATGCTTTTAGAATAAGATTACCAGAATGCCACTTAAAGATTAATGTATAAAACCTCATTGAAATAATATTAATAGCATTTAATCTACTATTGAAGTGTAGAAATGCCAAAAATAAAACCAGTGAACATTGATCATATAGCCGATTTCTAGCATCAAATATCGAGACCATGCCTTGTTTAAGCAATTGATTTTTTTTTTTGTATATTTAATCAAAATGTGTACATGCATCAACTTTTCCGACATAAAAAAGTGATAAATGGAACAATATAATTGATACAACATGCATGTACCATACATGTACATGTATTTCCAATGGTAACAGAAAGCTACATGTATGTAATGTTATGTATGAGACTATATATCTGATGCCTTTACTGTTGGAGTACAAGTTTATTTTGACTCTGATAATGGGTGGTGTAACGCATGTGCTTTAGATCATAAGGTTTATTATTGAGTCAAGTGGCATGGTACTGCTAAAGACCCTGAGTCAAAATCAAATGTATACATTACATGTACAAGTATACATATAGTCTCTATCTTGACTCTTATAGAGATGTTGGTACATGTAATTAGGGTTAGTGTGAAAAAGCCTGGTTTGATAATCAGGAGTAAGGTTTTGGTATAATGATTATCCAGAATTAAGTAGGGATATGATAATCAAATCTCTTAATAACCCATAGATTACAGGTCTTTACTGGGTATTTATTTACACCTTTACGTATCAGTGTACATGTCTTTAGTAATATGGAATGTGGTGGTAGTACACATACTCTATTCAAAAACTATAGTACATGTGTATTATGTACACTGTATCCTAAACTCATTCTTTATAGAATTCTACGCAGCTACAGCATGTGACACATAAGAATTCAGATTCTCCTTAAAGTCCCTGTCCCATCATCCATGACTTGTTTTGACTTGTAATTCATGTAACCCTGACCAAGTGGTGATGGGTGAGAAAAATTAAAACATTTTTACCACAAGAGGCATGGTTTGCCAAGATGTACATTGTAATTTAGAATGCGCAATGACCTACAAAATCTATTACATGTA